GCGGTTCATGTCTACATCTGTATGTAGATATAGTTCGCCACACTACAAGTATTTACAAGTTATAAAAGTAAGAGAAGAATACAACAAAATGATTTACATTAAAAACAAAAGATAAACACGCCTAATTTCAGTGGCAGGGATAGCATGGTCTAGCTGTCCTTCTTTCTATGACATTTGAATACAATACCTTGATTGCTCTAATCGATGCCCGTGCCCTTATTCACATTTCTCTCCAAACAAATTCCTTGAAAAATCTAAGCATCGAACAAATGTCAAGCACCCTAGTAAAATATTGTTAGAGAAAGTAGAGTGTCGGAGGTTGGTGAATAATATCAATTTTTCCTTCTCTCTTTCAAGTACTCCTCTTTGCTGACGTAGGTCGTTTTGTTTGAGTGGCTTGGATTGGTCATTTCTAAAATGTTTATCCCATATTATTGACTTCAATTTTTTTCTCCTTTTGTTCATATGCAAGACCTGTTCAAGATAGCCTGTGTGCATTTTTCTTAGGTCTTATCGATTCTTTCATTTAATCTTAGTTTTATCCCCAAAAAAACTACTTCCATACCCTACTTAACGTAATGATGATTGACAATGCTACCCTCAACAAAAACACGAATTCTTTAATGACAATTTATTTCTCAGATGGTTTTTGTTCTGTTGTTATGTGCCTTTTCCTGTTGAAATGTTTTTTGGTTTTGAAGGGAAAACATCTTTGAATGCCTCATGAAAGAAAATTTCTGGTTTTATTTAATGTAACGTTTTATGCTACTTAATACTGCTAAGCCCACCTTGCCGACATAAAATGTGCTCAGATATGAATGGCTCTGACCTACTCCTAAAATTCACGATTGAATGGACAAACTCAATCCGCTGAATGAACAAAGTTTAAGAGATGTAATAGATTAGAAATAAGACGTCAGGAAAGATAAGAAAAAGCCAAGTTTGAGGGTCTCGCAGGAGTTTTGGCCAAAAATGGGGCAGGAACACGGGAACAACTAAAATTTTCCATTGAGAACATAGGAAAATTTTTAATAGTTTAAGGGAACAAGGGAACTTTTTTTATATTTCAACGGGAACACGGGAACATTGGTTGTTTTTCAAAGGAAACACGGTTACAAGTACCTTCCCTGGGCGACCCTCAAGTTTCTCAAGAACCGACATTGAAGAAAAATTTGAAGGATATCTTGGGATTAAAAAAATTAAAGGCAGTCTCTCCCTTATTGTGCTCAACTTTATTTTCATGGGAGTGAAATTCACGCACCGTTGAGCTTGATCGATAATTAAACAATTTAAACCAATCAGAGACGACTTTTATTCCAGAGCTTTTGAATCAAATGGTTGTGTTCGCGTTGTAGTGAAGTTGTGGCTAGAAATATTTGGTACCCTGTTTGGTTTCTGCGACAGATATGTAAACAGAGAAAAGAAATGCTTCCATCATCATCATTCAATTCCAGTAACAAAATCATCTTCTAATTTCCGATAGTATTTTAAATGTCGTCCACTACCGCAGCTAGGCCAGTCAACTCGAGCAGCGTAATCCGTTAAGGCGGTAAGACCAATTGTTAAGATTAGCCAATCATTGAGGGGACAGACTGCCTTTAAACGGTAAATTATAAGCAGACTCATTCTATTATAAGAAACCGTCTAAAAGGAAAGGATCCCTGAGATGCCAAAATGTTAAGTGCTTATCGTACTGATCACCCTTAGCCTTCGGAAACTGCTTTAAAATTCTTCTTTCCAAGATAAGGTGGAAGTATTTTTATTAGACGATTAGTCGCCCACATTCGTTTTTTAAGAATCGATGTATATAAAGCCGGTCATAAAGTTGACAAAAAATTAAGACGCCCTAGTACTGATCACTGTCAACCTTGAAAAACTGCCCGAAAATCTTTTTTTCATTATGGGGTAGAAATTTTTATACGACTAAGTACCTATTTCCTCTTAAATTGACATGAAATAAAGAGATTAGAAAGAAGAGGTCCTTGTGACTTATTCGTTTCACAAAATACTAAAAGCTTTTTCAGGGTATAAAACGTGAGAATAAGGATGAGAAAGAACACGATGAAAGATATATACCCAGTTGTGGATCGAAATAGGCCAAACAGAAAAAACAAGCACGTGACCAGTGTAAGTGTCCAATCAGTATCCTGTGCCTGTACCATGTGCGTAGAAAGTCCCCACTGGAGTCTAAGATGGAAAACCAACGCTTTCTGTCTACACAATGGCGGCTTTTTCGTTTGTATGTAGATCTATTCCAAAACTGCCAGATGACAAGACGACCGGGCTCTGTCAAGTACCTGAACCTTGCCGTCATTAAAGACTTTGATATTGCCAGTTTGACAACAATTTGGGTTGTCTAAAAGATATTGCCAGAATCACTTGTTTTCCCAGTGTTTGCACCTACAAGATACCTAAGGAGGCTGTTACTTTAAGTGGCACTTTTATTTCGTATGTTGGAATGAACATTTTGTTTTAACCTATCCCCCAATTTTTGGTTTGTGCGTGTACGTAGCCAGAGCCACGCTGGCACGTTTTCCATAAACAACACAACTCGTTCGAGTTGTAGGAACACGACTTTTGAATGGATGTAAGGGCTCTCATAGTACTGTAAACAATTCGGGGATCGACAGAGAAGAAACTTTTTGTGATGGCCTGTTTAAGCTAACTTTCAAATCGCAAGGAGGTGTTACAAATCCATGGTAGTTTGGACACTTATGTGATAAACTGGACACTTTCATGGACCAAACTTTCAGACAGCCGAAAAAGCTGTTTTTCAGAATTTTTTCTTTTACTTTTTTGTGTCTCTAAAAAGTCCTTGTGTTTCAATTAGTGACTGAATCTGCAAACTCATCTTGAAATTTGTTATGATATGTGTTTGTTGATATTTTTATCAAAAATATACGATGTAGTTCATGTGTTGGAGTAGGCGTATAGTGAAACTGGGGCTGCACGTTCTTTTCCAGCTTTCTTCCTTCCACAGAAATATGTATAATTTTGTATTTCATTCTTCCTGGTTTTTTACCTGATTTTGTTGCTTTGTTTTTCTTATCCAAAAAGATAGCGTCTTATCTCAATATTCTTTATAACCAACAATTTACTGAATGTTTTCTGAATATTAACTAGCCATAAAGTCTTTAAAGATTATTTCTACCTTTTTTTGTATACAGTACTGCTGCATTTGAATATTTCACAATTGTCATTGAATGGAAATTCTTATTGGGTATAAATTTCGTATGATTTTACTTTTAGAATTATGGAAAATTTATTAAGAAAGAATAACTTGAAGAGAGAAAAGAAAGCATAATTATTTTGCTAATATTGCAATTTTTAAGATTCAAAATTGTGAAAGATTTCCTTTTCGCTTCTTTCCTATCTTAGTTTTTCTATTCAACATTCTCTTTTTTCAATTCCTCTTCTTATTTTTGTGTTTTTTCTTATTTTTCTTTTCCTGTCGTCTTGCTCTTGATTGCCTTTGCTTCATTTTTGTTTTATTTTCTTCTCTCCTTTTCTTTTCTTTTCCTTTTTTTATTCTTATTCTTTTTTCTAAAACTCTTCCTTTAATTTTGCCTTTTTCTTCTTCTTCATCTATATCGATTTGTTATTAATATGTTTGCCTTAATTCGCAATTGTGTCATTAAATTACAAATGTTTTCTTGACAATAATCTCTCTTCTGCGACTTTCTTTTTAGTTTTCATGTCTTCATATCTTTTTTCAAACGCATTTCTCCATTTTATTCTCTGATCTTCCTGATTGGGGAACTGGTTTTCGACCAGAACAAAACCTCTAACCCTTTTCATTTGGCACATCCATTCTTAATCATATTCTAGTAAATATAAACATAAACTTAAGTAAATATGTTTCTAGCAGCGGTATTCAATGGCATGATTATCTGCTTGAATTTCAAGTTTCAGTTACTTTAGGAAGAAGATCTACTAGAACCGTAATAGGCTACTGAGTAGCTCAGGCATGAAAGAGTTCTTGTTTTGCAAACTTGAAGCACCCCAATTGCGATCGTGATTGAAGAATAAGATGAAGAGTCTAATTTATAGAATTAAAGAAGAAGAAATTGATACCTGTAAATAAATGTTTTTGTCTTACCCAACAATATTGATTTCAGCCTAAGTCAACCTAGGAAATTTTTTTTTAAGCTACACGGACCCTTTGATGGTGAGACGGGCCCCTAGAGTAAATGCCCTCTTCTTGTGTAGGTGGCATATTTCACTTCTGTACCACTGCGTCTTCCAACTCCTCTTAACATTTTGATCGGTTGGTTCTTTTATAGTTCTTCAAAGGTTAATGTTCCTCGCATATTGTTTCCAACTCTTCTGGCATATATATGATATATACAGCCCCTGCTTGCGCTACTGAAAATAATAAACAGTAGCAGATTCTAAGTGATAGTGTCTAAGCGAAAGTGTATAAAGGCATTTGATTTATCAATTGATACTTTAAGGTACGGATTCTTACGCATGATCCGTACACGTGTGTGATTGAAAGCGAAAATAGGCCTAGTTCTGCTCCGTTTTTACATTTCTCATCGAAAAATCTGATCCAGATTCAACCTAAGAGATGAATTGTGTTGTTTGTCCTGTGTCTGTATGGGTTGGTTGTGTTTATGCTCCTGTAAGGCAAAATATTGTGAAGCAAGATAGCCTGATTTAAATAGTGCTTATGTAAAAAACCTTTTTAATCAATAATCCTGTTGTATGGATAAATACAACCTAAAAAATTTAATTTCTTAAAAATAGGCAAATGGAAGGCATAAGTGACGATAAAACAACCAGAAATCCCTCTAACATAATCCTGTTTGTTTAAAGTAAAAAGTACCCTTGAATGCCCAGTAACAGAGTAACAATTTTATATTTATATACATTTTTTTGTGCTGAAAGTATTCTTTTGTAATATTGGGAATATTTTTGTATATATATAATATTGTATCGAGTTTAATAAATGTTGTTTATTTTGGCTGTTAACAGTTTCGCATTGTTCCTGTTTTCAGATTTAACATGGAGGGAACGAGCCGTCAAAACTGAATAAAATAATAAATAAAAGAAGTCAATTACGAGACAACACTGAATGAAAGAAGAAGATAAAGGTATGAAGATGATTTCTTTATTTGTTTTGCTTGAATTAACAATCTAACGCATTTACTAGCGAAGGATAAAATATGCTTTTTAGGCATTACATAAAATATGCTTCTTAAGCATTAGCAAGACAAAAAATGACTTCGACCACTTTGAGCCAGCGATAAGCTGATTGTATCGATTTACATAAGAGGAAATTTGATGTTTGCGATAAAATCTGAAAACCTGGGATTGAATCATCAAATTGATGGAAGCCCTTTGCGATAATAAGATCAATGGCTTGAGCTTGTGGCCGATAAGATGAGATATGTCGATAATTCATCAGATAGGATTGATATTTCCAATCGTTTTTAAGAAATAATCATCATATTTTGCCATACAGCTTGAATTGGAAAATCCAAGTCTGGTCTTATGGTTTGTCAATTGGATAAAAGGCTGTCTAATTAAATGAAAATATATCATTTTAGACACATGTGTTACGCTCAGCCCGGCTAATTCCCTTTTAACGTACATTGGTAAATTGGAAGATGCGATTTCAGTCGAGAATATGTCTGTATCCGCTACAGTCTTCAAATTCGAGATAAGACCTTTAAGCTAGCTTGAGCTACACGTAGCCCCCGTTTCTCCATCTTTAAATATTTTAGCTCTTGTCTTTAATTATAAAAAAGTTGCTGGAGATTCTTCATTGCCTCTTTTTGACGTTATGATTGCCTCTATCTCGTCATTATCCTTGTCACTTTTTCGTTATTGTCCTTGATGCTTGTTCGTGTTATCATTTCCACCCTGCAATACCGAATAATGCTTACTAAAAATGGAACGATATCAGACAGAATTGGGATACATTTTCCTATGTTCAAAAAATTTATTTACTAGAATGCGAAGATACCTTGGGAACAATATGCTTGCAACAGTAGAATTAAAACGTTAGGGATTTCTTGTGTTTCTATTGAACGAGAGTCAATTTACTTTAAGATTAAGCCTTCACATAGGGTAGACTAGATTTTTGTATTTTTATGTTGGCTCCTCAAATATCTCTTATTGGTTCTCCGGAAGAAACGGCAATTACTACCATCCTTAAATACACCATATAAGTCCACGAATGCAGTTAATAATGTTTCTGGGCCCAGTAGCTCAACAGGGAGCGAAAGAGGTGCGAAACGGCCGATCAAATCAGCTGAAGTTTTCGTGCTCTAAGACTTTTAGAGCTTAAAATTAATTTTTTCACAACTCGTGTACTTGTCCCAAAGTTGTATACACGTGTAGCTCTCAGAACATATCTTTTTTTATTCCAGTCTCCTTTAATTCGAGAGAAACACTCTCTAGTTTTTGCTCTTATCAAACTGAACAAATTTTTGCTCTTATCAAAGCAAAGTTATGGGAAGACAACATTCTCCTTGTTACCTTTTTACGGATGTCACGCTTTCCTGTTTAGCGTGTCGCTCACTCAATGCAATAGTTGATTTTATGTTTTATTGTTAAAAAGAATGTTAAAAAACTAGTGAAAAATGTATGCCGGAATTGCGTTATTCTGTTGTCACGGTATTAAAGATATGCAAGGGTCAATAATTAATAAATGTTCTGTTTATTAAGAAGTACTAATAGCTGTTAATATTGAATCCAATGTTCAATCAATATTCAGTTTATTTAGAAGTACTTATAGCTTCTTATCTTGAAGTCCTATGATCAGTAAAGAATCTATCTATTTTGAAGTTGTAATAGCTGCTTATACTGAAGTCCAATAAGTAAAAATTATTCTGTTGATATGGAAGTACTAATTGCTGCTTAATATCACTGGATTCAAAGTATTATCTTCCCTTACTATAAATGCTTTCTAAAATCGTATTTAACAGTGGCAATTAACGTTTTTGTGTGCAGTCGTTTTGAGACCTGACGTAAGATAATACTTTTGTATTACTAGATACGTTTTTCAAAGGAATGACGACCAAATTCTAAGTATAATGTCGGGGAAACATCTCTTCAAAAATTCTCCAACCTTTTTACAACTGACGAAACAGTAAATTGAGTTCAAATCGTTCACGTTACTTATTCTTTTCGGCGTAATCAAAACGTTTCGTAGCCTGTTCGCAACGTTTTTATTCTTGAGATATATTAATTACCTTATCGGCTTCTTTATGGTTCTAAATCAATTTATTTCTTATGGTTTTCTTTGCTTGTGTGAATTCTCTTTTTAAAAACGTTACTATCTCCATAAAATGTAAACATTTCGAAATGGATAGAACAACTAAGCATTGTCTTGATGCTCTTTGCCATTAGCTTTAGTTATGTCTGGCTTCTCAAATTTACGCTATTCATGAGGTAATTGCAATAGAACTGTACGAAAAAGCTAACGCTAAAGATAATCGTTGAATTGGCATGCAGCTGTCGATTTTAAGAGCATTAGATAAACCAAATTAATAAAACAAAAAGACAACTGTTTTACTGTCAACCTTGGTAGTAATTGACTTTAGTTTCTTAAAAGATTTTCGTACGAATAAATTGAACTTGGAGATAGGGAATTATTTTTATTTTGCATGTTATTTAGCAAGCAACCTATAAACGTCGGCATTGTATTACATCTTGTTTCTGCCATCGCATTTCAAGGATCTTATAACAGAAATGATCAAATTGGAAAAATTGCTAAAATATAATTCAATAATCTAATTCTAGAGAGATAATTTTCTTCCTCTCATCTATAAATTTTGGCTGCAGTAGTTGCTCAGGTTGTTGACAATTTATAATTTAAAATCAAATATTGCGCAGGAGATCTTCAATTCACCATTCTGCCGAAAGAGAGAATGTCTTTGTGAATCGTTCTGAGCTATGTGAAACTAGATCCTTGAAGTTTTCATAAATCAACCTAGTAAAAGAGTTTGCATAAATCAACCAAGAAAAAGATATCATGAAAAAATTGTATGAAATGGCCTGTATTAAAGTAAAAGGAATCGTTTTTTGGGACAAGTTTTCAATAATTTCCCTGAATGGCGATTCAAACTAAAACACTTCATGCCTAGAAAGACACTCCTTCTAATACAAAACCACATTTTTCCAAGCATCATTATCAAAAGAAATTGAATTGGATTGGATTGGATTGGATTGGTTCGGTTCGGTTCGGTTCGGTTCGGTTCGGTTCGGTATGGTTCGTTTCGGTTCCGTTCGGTTCACTTTGATTTGGTTTTGGGATTTTGACCATATTCAACTGATTCCAATTTTATAGGACTCGCTTTTAGTGATCACAGGTGAGCATCTGAACTCTCAATTAGAACTGCCAATGTTTTGGCAAATTTATCCTGAAAAACTTTGTACTTAGGCTCATTTTAGAATTACATTATCGCTTTTGAAAGTTTCAAAATACCATTCTGTTAATTTTAGGAATACGGTTCGTGCTTGTCTTTTTATTTTTAGTTACAATTCTTTTTTGCATTCCTGTTTCGCTTGACTTTGCTCAGGCTGTCAACATTGTTATTAAATAACGACAGAGATCATGAAATAAATGCAAAAATTAGAAATAACAATGGTTTATAAAAATAGATATATATATTTCAATTTGTTACTTGTGACTTAACTATTATCTACTTGACACTTAACTATTTCTAGACATTCTACAAAAATTCTGATAATTTGACAACCAGACAGGAATGTCAGAGCCATTTAAAAGTTATTCGCAAAAAGATAATATGTATAGAAGAAAAGGAGATTTTACCAAAGGTTCTAACTGAGACAATTCAATGAAAAAAGACATTTAACCCACATTTTTGGGGGAATATTTGCACCTGGTGCCCTCCAAACTTCCCTGCATTTCAACGTCCCTGCACTTGGAGGATTATTATTGTTATTATAAAACACTCTTTTCTCAAATAAATTTACTTAGCGTAACACATGGTTTCTAGTCGAATTGTTTTTGCAAGGCAAGTCTATCTTTTGCTAGTTCATGAGCTTCTTTCAATATCCGTTTTCCTTAGAGGAGAGTTATACAAAATTATTTGGTATCGGAACTGCAACAGTTAAGTTTCTGTCCACCAGAAAGTTTATTTTAATATACTTTGTTGGCATTTTTGATACAGAGTTGCAAAAGGGCAGAAATAGATATCAAAAGCGGTATGGATGATCAATCCCCACAGATATATGCTCGCCTTTCTGATTGGCCTATTTCGATCCACAACTTAGTATCTATAAATCCTAGCCTAGAATTTTCTGTCTATGTTCTGGCGTTTATACTCCGAAAAGTGTGAAACGAAAAGCTTCAGTATGTTCTAAAACGTTTGCTTTTTTCAAAGCCATTTTTAGGAACTTGATTATGGATTATGATTAGAAAGATTTTGTTGTGATTCTTTTCAACTATAAAGATAGTGTCAATTGATTTTATAGCATGAAATATTAGAGTTTCGAAAGTTATTCTAATGTGAATTGTAGATTAACATTGAAAAACGTAAACTGAACGTCAAAGTGCACATTGTTTTCGATTATATTGTCGTGTTTATATATGATTTTTTTATTGATAAAGAATAAAATATGCTGTAATCTAGCCTTATAAAACACATATTCGAAGGGGACATAAATTGCTATTAAATTAGAAAGTTTTAAACAACGCTCTCCACTAGTATAAATTTTGTCAAAGCCTTGTGAGGACATAATTAGTCATGTTATTCCGTATTCATCATGAAGGTTCTAATTTCCAACCTTTCAGTTAAGATTTTTTTAAATTTTTAATAAATTGTACCAAAAACTTGTGCCTTTTTATCTATACTGCCTTTTCTTTCTTGTGTCATTGCAAGACAAAGACAAAACGAAATAATATGGGGCTACCTCATGAACAGCTATAAAGCTACATTTTTTGAATAGTTTGGCGTCTTCTTAGAAGGGTTGGGCTTCTTAAACAGAGCTTGTCGTCATATGAGATTAAAGTTAAATTTGCCCTTGACGAATTAAATTGATTAGTCAGTTTATTATAGTTTTGTTTAATCCTGTAAGTCAAAACATATGGAAAAACGAGGAGCAGTATTTCTTGCTTTTA